GAGATGTGTCCATCAGGATCCAGATCCCACATCCTAATCACTTGCAGAGACATTACAATTTAAATAATATAATCTTTCAGTTTGTCTTTAACCCATTTGGACAAGAAACAGGAGAAACCCCACTGTTTATCTCCCAGCAGTATTTGAAGGGAGCATTAACAGCAGTGCAGATCACCCACTTGTGTCCTTAGCATCTAGTAGCAATATTGCAAATCCAGACATTTCATTTAGGTAATTCCAAGGCTTACAATATAAAAAAAATAAAAAGTTATAAGAAAAAATGCTGCTTAATGTCCAGCGGCTGGATACTGCCTGCACAACTCTCAAGGTGATGGCACCATCTGATAACATGCTCATGTGTTCAGATGTTGGTACTTGTTGGGAGGGAGGATGTTAGAGAAAGAAACCAGAAGAGACAAAGAATAAATATGTGGTTTGCCCCAAGGTCAGAAAGTTGTCAAAATACCCAAGTGATGCAACCAGTGGCACTTTTAAGCAGTCTGGGCCAGACACTACTTTTTTATTTTTATTTTTTTTGGAAGTCTGCTTTTGAGAATTGCTTTTGAATATTTATGTCTGGATTGCTTATTTGGAAGAAGCTACAGCCGCAGCTGCTCCCGCTGGAGCGACAGCAGCCCGGGCTGCCGTCTCCTAGAGACCTGCAGTTCCCATGCTTCACAACTCCTTTTTTTTTATCTTTTTTTAAGAAGAAGGCTTGATTTGCTGCATAATGCAAAGCCAACATGATTAGAAAGCATAATGGGATTTATTACTGGTTTAAAGGGCGGTGTAAGACACAGACAGACAGAGCCCCAAGGAGCAGATCAAGCTACAAAATAACTACAGATAGGACCAGAGGAAATAGCCCCAAGTGGCACCAAGGGAGGTTCAAGTCGAGTATTAGGAAAAGAAGTACACTGAAAGAGTAGTCACGTATTGGAACAGGCTGCCCAGCGAAGTGGTGGAGTCGCTGTCCCTGCTAGTGTTCAAGAAATGGGTTGATGAGGCCCTTAGGGACATGGGTTAGCAGGCATGGTGGTGATGGACACACAGTTGCACCTGATGATCTCCAAGGTCTTTTCTAGCCATAATGATCCTCTCATTCTCTGATTCTATGATTCTATGATCAAGACGCTGGAGTAGGAGCCTTTGGCAACTGCTGGGCCAGCTTTGGTTGGAGGAGCTGGAAGCCTAAGAGCTACCACGAGAAGACGAGCTCTGTGCAGGCAACACCTCCATCCTTAAAACTCTGCGTGTGGAAACTCCACATTTATACCAATGATTTTACAAAGTTCCTGCTTCCCTTTGGCCCACAGAGCCAGAAGCATTAGGAAGATGGGTTTTGAGAGGATGAAATGATGGGAGCCAACACCTTCATTCCTCACTGACTTCTGTCTTTGTTAATGAGCAAGTGAGAAAAAATGAGTTGTTAACTGAAAGGCCCTGGTAACTTCTTTTTCCAACTGCTTTCTCTATTCTAGCGGAAAGATAACTGCTTTTGTGGATACAATCTGCCTCCCCTCACCCCGCAGAGCAAAGCTGGAGGAAGGTGACACAAAGAAATACCTATTTTGACAATATTGTTTTTGTGTTATCAACCTGAAAATGTCAGAACCTCCAGGCGCAGCACATCCATTACTGTAAAAGCAGAAACAAAGAATAACTCTCCATATGTAGGTGTTTACATCAGAAAAACAAAGGCTTTTGTCTCAGGTGACAGTGTTGCTCCACCCAGCAATGGCTAAGATTTTTTTTTCTGGCATGAATATCATAGTAGTTCAATATTTTACCTTGAAGACCGAGGAAAAAAAATCTGTAAGTTCTCTTGAAATGTCTTTATTGCCTTTAATTGTGCCTTGATAACAGCAGACTTCTTTTTTTTTCTGTCGTTCTTGTCATTAACACATAATATTCCTTAAAATTCCTCTTAAATATCCTGATTTATCATTTGCCCACCCCATGCTGGCCTTCCTTTTCCTGTTTTTTTCTGTTAATTGTTTTCCACACCTATCTGACCGTACAGAAGAAGGGGAGCTTGGTCTCAAGTGGGAATTATTCCCAACAAATGCATTAATAAATGATCCCTATGTCACCAACCCCAAAGACAAGCGCTTTAATGCCGAGGCTAACAGGCTTTCTGCTTCTGCACGCAGGAAAATCCTCCTGGTATTTTGTCACCAAGCAGAGTCTCCTGATGTGCCTCGAGCCGATGTGTCACTCCGGAGGCCGGCAGCACAGAGCAGCAATCATCAAATGCATTCATTTGGTCGGGAGCTGCCTGAAGAAATGTTACCTAGCAATTACAGCGAGAATTTCCCGCGAAATAAATTCTGTTTCTCAAAAGGAGCTTCTGAAAATCCCCCGCTGACATTTCAGCAGAAATGCCTTACAGCTTGTCCAGAGAGGCCAAGCTCATCTTGTCACACCAAAGCTCGCAGCGCTTCCAATTTACTGCCTTGCTGTTTGTTTTAATGACTGTTCCAGGCACTGGCTTGGCCCCGGCAAGAGGAGATTAGTGTGTGTGCGAATGCGTCTCCAAAGTTGACTCAATTTGCACAAAGTAATGAAAAGCTTAATTTGCACTCCCCACAAATCCGGTTTCCCCCGACAGGCGCTTGCATTGCACACTTCATCGAGGCCTCAAGAGGCTGCTTCAGAGCGAGAGGAGATTAAATTGGCCGGAGAAATCGTGTTCCCAACATGCACGAGGGCTTTCCCGATCCGAACTGCCCATCCCGCATGCCGCGGGGCGCTGGCTGGGAATCTACAGGAAGCTGCAGTGGGATAAGGGGCCTGCAGGAGCTCCTGGATTACAGGAGACCCTCCCCTCAAGGTGCCTTTGGAGGGAGAGTGGGAAGACCAGGATGAGGGCGGAAAGGGAAGGAAGGCCAATCAGGAGCACCTGGGACCGCATGGATGGTGAGACTTGGCAGCAACCAAGTCAGCAACCTTGGGTGGCTGCAGTAGGATAAGGGGCCTGCAGGAGCTCCTGGATTATGGGAGACCCTCTCCTCAAAGGTGCCTTTGGGAGGACAGCAGGAAAACCAGGATGAGGGTGGAAAAGGAAGGCAGGCAAATCAGGAACACCTGGGATCACAAGGATGATGAGACTTGGCAGCAACCAAGTCAGTAACCTTGGGTGGCTGGTCCTGAGTTTGGAGGCGGCAGCGGGACCGAGAATGAAAGCCAAGAGTTTGGCAGCAAAACCTTATTGTGAGCAGCTCTCATTTGTGCCAATGCTCAATTTAAAGATGATCTGCACGAGCGAAGACTCCTCCATGTGTCTGTGCAATTATGTCTCGAGGTGTAAGGCACCATCTCGTAGTAAATCAATTTGCCAAGGCAGTAGGTTTTCCAAAACTGGGCATGAGGATGATGATTTCAGCATGATGCTCACTCTGTCACTGCTTTAGTTGCCTAAAAAGAACAATCATGGCTATATAGATTAAATATACTTACATATATTTCACACATTGCTAGTGTTGCCTTTCCACTTAAGAAACACCAGAATCCCTATAGAGATACGGTTTAGCCCCCAGCTGCAGAAGAGCTACTTTTGATCAAAAGGGGGAAGGAGACAGCTCTGAAAGGAGCACCTGAGGCTTTGTGGAGAAAAGGATGAGAGCCACCAGAAAAAGGTCAGGTTGACAAGAGGAAGATAAAAAGGCCACGTTCAAACCCTCTTCTCCTCTTGAAACACAGAGAAACTCAAAACCAACTGATTTCGAAACCACCCCTCTCTCCCCAAACCCAAGATGAAACCAGTCTTCCCACCCAAGGCAGCTGATTTTTCAAACTACAAAACAATTTGCCTATTAAGACCAGCAGTATCTTCATGTTAAATGCATTATAGATATGTATTCACCTGTGACATTGAAAATCCTTCAGGACTTTTCAGGGCATGGATACTGTGCCTTGGCTGGTGCACACATGTAGTGAAATAAACCACCTAAAAGCATCGTCTTAACGCGACTCGTTGGTCACTGCGCTGTTCGTATAAATGAATGCAGACACAGTCTGTCACGGTGAGGTTTTTTCCCCAAATTACAGTGAAGCAGATGGTATTTAATATGTAAAGTGTGTGACACTTCCAAATGCGCTGCCAGGGTCTGTTGTATAAAACGATGTCCATGAGTGGATTGTATTTCATCCCTTTCCAATAACTGCTTTAAAAGGATGTGCAATGATACTGAAGACAACTGATTAAAGCCCAAGTCTTCACACAGTTCTCACTACAGGTGCTATACATGCACATGTAGCAGAACTAAGGAACTATAAGCAGGGACGTAGGTTTGGAAATAGCAAATTTATTTCCTTTTTGAGACAAAAGAGAAAGCCTGTTCTGCAAGGTAAGTTACAAAGTAAGATTTACTATTGATTTCCACGCTGCATCTGCTTAGAAGAGAGGGGTTTTCTGACAGCCAAGCCCTGCAAATTGACATCTTCTTGGAGAGCACCAATAAAAGCTCCAAATCTCGGGGTTTTACCACCTCTTGTGCTGACACCTGCTCTCCCTGCTGTAGGACAGAAATAACGCTGCACACGTACAAGCACCTATTTGCACAGACAAACACCCTTCCCGAAGCACGAGCGAGTGTTTGCTGGGAGTGAAAGGCGCTGTTTCAGTCTCCAGTCCCCGCTGGAAGCTTCAGTGAAGCAGCATCCTGCCCGCCAGCCTCACGGCAGCTCCCGCAGGGCTGCGTGGAGCCAGGCAGCAAAGGGACTCGGAGCGTGGCAGGAGCAAGGAGGAAACTGGCAACCCCACTGCAAGGCCGGTCGCAAAGCTGCCTAAACAGAATTACTTAATTTTATGCTAACAAAAAAGGGCTGTTTCCAAGTTGCAGGTGTACATTGATTGTATTTTTAACCAGCAGGTTCTTTAATGGGTTTATTTTTAATATGGAGGTTACTTCCTAATATTTACAGAAAAGGAAAAATAGCTCCAAAACAATAGGATATTTATTTAGCATTCAAATATTTACAGAAACATACTTAAAAAATTAAGTATTTGAAATATAACTGACTTCGAAAAAGCTTCAAGCTTGTATGTTACAAAAACATATTGCCTTTACTGTGCTCAAACTTGGTGTTCAGATCTCGTGATTTTCTTATCAGGGCTTTCTTCTGTGCTTCATCAAATCGATGGACTTTGAGATCCTGGTCTCGGTCAAACGGCCTTCTTTCTTGAGGTTTGTTCTTCTCTTCAGCTGCTTTGCTTTTTAGCTTTTTATGATGTATATCCATGAGGGATTCTGATCTCCTCGACTCCTGGAAAAATAGGAAAAAGAGGGGGAAACACTATTAGAAAACGCCAACAATATAGAGAAGACCTGAACAATTAAATGGGTCAAGTATTAGGCTAAGAACTCCAGAAAGTTCAGTAATGAGAAAACAGAATGGTTTGTTGGTAATATTGGTTATATGGTAATATAATGGTATATTAATGGTAATGAAAATTGATAATGATAATGGTAATATTAACTTTGCATATACAGTGCAGAATGGAGTTCTAAAAAGACATGATGTTATTTTGAAACCTTCACACAGAGTAGCAATAAAAATAGTGGGAAAAACATGAAGATACTCTGCCATGCTAAGCAGAAACATAAGTTAGGACAATATGTCTTGAGAAAGACCTCAAAGCAGAGGCCCAGCTTCTCGTACACTTTCCCTAAGCAGTTGTTCTTGGTCACTGTTAGGGGTGGGAACACAAGGCACCCTTTTAATCTTATTCTCCCACCAAGTTATGTTTCCCTCTTTACTTTGTGGCATTTATCTGCTGGCAGCCCACAGGAGCAGGCCAGAGGTGTGAAGCCAAGCACACACTGCAGCATTTTTGCCAAGCCAAGGATCCACATGTGTTTATTGAAGATGCAAAACCTGCACTGAACTTCACACTGGCAGGGGGTTACGGGGCCCTTCCTTTACCCAGGTGAAGTGTATTTCGGGGTCTGTGCCCACAGATACCAGCCCAGCTCTCAAGCCAGCCAAAAGCTGAATCCAAACCCATTCTCTCCTCATAGAGAAGCGTTGAGCAGCTCCATCTCCTCTTACTTAGGAACACAGGACCTTTATTCTGAAAGGTTCACTCCCATCTTCATCATTCCCTCTTCAACTACTTATTTCACGATATACAGCAACAATAATTGATAGGTGACATAAAAAATATGATTTCCATGAAAACAGAAAGTGGGTAACACTTTTCCCAGGCGTAACTGCATTGATGCAGATGGAATTGCACCAGGGAATAAATTTGTCATCAGCACTGCAGGAATTAACAGCAAGAAATCATTTTCAAAACTAAAGCTCTTTTCTATGAAAATGTCCTCAATAAAAGTTAACAGAGAAAGGAAAATGAAAGAAGAGACACAAAATTTTTAATAGAAAAAAAAGCCAATAAAAAAACAAGCCAAGATGCTCTATTCCTAAATAAAATGTCTTCATTTGCATAATGCAATTTTGGGAGAGATGTCTGTTGACCTTGAAACAATGAAAAAGTATATATATGTGTGTGCATATGTATTTTTATATATATACATAGACATGTGTGTGTGGATGCATGTACATATGTATGTGTGCATATATAAATACTTGTTTTATTATGGCAACAGAAAAGAATATATTTATTCTACCACACCTGTAGTAGCTGTATTGGCAGACAGAAACCAGAGAAGAAATTTAAGGTAGCGTACTAGAAGCTCTGCATTTGCAAGTCCCACAAATCAAGAGAGACATATGATTTAATGAACTACAAATAAATTATTAAAAGTGCCACATAAACTCCAATCTTGTAATATAAGCCAAGGCAGCGAGTTTCCAAGCTAATTATACTCTCTGGAGACCTGTCTTCTGCAAGCCTTCAAGCCGTAAATCAGGGCAGAACAGGAAGGAGCAGCTGTAAGGCAGTCAGCAGGCCACACACAGGGGAGGGTGGTGTGGCCAGACAGCCAGGCAAGAGGGAATTTTATGTGGAGGTCTCTTTTTGTGTGTGTTTCATCAACATCTGTCTGTGAAAATTAATTCTCTCTGGAGACTGAAAGAATATAATATAATATAATATAATATAATATAATATAATATAATATAATATAATAAAAGATAATGCTGTTATAATGAGGCAGTTAGTTCCAGAATTGCTCTGCTTAGTCCATTTAGCTTCCCCTTGGCTACTCTAAAAATGGAACCTTTAGTGCTGCTTTCTTCTTCTGGGCTGTTGGCAACTTGGTGAAACAAGCTAGTGTTTGAGCTGAGCTTGGCTGTCTGCAGCGGTCACGTCCTGAGCTGGGGATGATTTAAGCAGAGCAGCAACTGAACCGGAGAACGTAGGTAAAATCCTGTCCACACAGAAACCAATTCTGACACCGTCTTCAGCAGCCTAAGGATCTGATCCTTCTCCTGTTGAAATCGGTGGGAAACGGTCTAATGACTGCACAGCAGTAGGTTTGGGCCCTAAATAGGAAGAATGTAGCGGTATCCATAGAAACCAGCAGTGCTAGAAACGAGTCCCAGAAAGGAAAGCGGGAAGAATTAAAGGGAATTTGTGAGAGGAGGCATTCTGCTGCCGTACTTACATTGTAGGAAGTCACCTGCTCAGCGAGTCGCTTGTCTCTCCCAGACAGCACAGTCTCCTCATCAACCTTACTGGCCGACTTCTTGGCCTCTTCTCTTTCCTGTTAGAGCAATCAGAGTGTCTGAAGTAAGCAGCAAGCAAATCCACGGTTACTTTAACTAAATATGAAGGTTAAAGGCAGTAGAGGCCACCACATTTTTTTGCTCTGCTTGACAAGAGATTGGACACACTGCAACAGGAGATTCAGTGTGCTGATGCAGAGTAACTGGCTACAGCAGAGGAGACGGGAGAGAGTGAAAAAATAAAAGAGCAATGTTAGTTAAAATGGTTATTTCCTCTCCTTTAGTGTGAAACTTGTGAGTTTGGGTAATCTGAAGAGAAACATGGAAAAACTTTTTTCATTGATCAGCTCACAGTTTGATTTCACAGGGCGCTACCGACACATACTCGGCCTGCACTAACCCCCGAGTGGGAAGCCACTCACCTTGGCTTTCCTCTCTCTGTCGGCTGGAGTGTCTGTCCAAACGGATCTGTCGCCAGATTTTTCATCCGCTCTTCTCTTGAACGTTCTCGGGCCAAACCCAAAGCTTTTCAGTTCTGGGGGAAGCTCTGTCATCCACAATTCCCTGGTAACTTTCTTGGGTTCGTCCTTTATGAAAGAAGAAAAGTGGAAATGCAAAACAAAATTGCCACGTGAATCTTAACTTCCAGCAGAGATTATAGATTTTTCTTTGTCCTAACAAGAATTAAAACCATTTAGAAAAAAATGTAGTAATACTGCATCTGGGTCCACATAGAAAAACTGTCATGCAAGGAAAACACAAATACATCCACCAAAAAAATACCAGCAAAGAAAAAATATCCAACTTACATTGTCTGCTGAAGTCAGTTTTTCTTTCATTCTCTGAGCTCTGCGTTCAAAATCCTTAGTTACATCAGACTCCATCGGTCCTTTTGCAGGCATTGGGCCTATAAGGTTGTCTTCCTCTTCACTGCTATCTGTTACCTTCCAAAAATAAAATACTTCTCTCAACCACAGTGCTCAGACACTCAAGAAATACTTTAACCTCATAGAACTGGAATGATTTTGTATGGAAGAACACATAAATCTTACACCAGGCATGTGTTAATCACACAACAAAAGCAGATGACAATTCCATTTTAGCCCTGTTATAGTAATTTAGCACGGATTTCCAGTCCCTGCATTTCCCAAAGCACCATCTTTTGTGCCCGAAGCAGGAACACCTGCAAGCACAGCAGCAGGAACAGAGTGCTGCTACTTCGTGCTGCTCCACATGTGTTGCTGTTGCCTCCACAGCACTAAGTCGTTAGAACCACATAAACCCACACCTCTGATAATGTGGGCTTCACCACCACTGGTACATTTGGATGCACCTCCATAATCAGACTCATCATTTCTCAAGCAAGAAGAATTCCTATCAGCAAAGCTCAGAGTCTATAAGGACACCAGGAAGACCAATAAGCAGGCCAGGGTACAGGTGGCACATATGGAGTGACATCCTTGGGTCTCTGTTGGAGCTGCTAGTCCAATCTCCTGGCTTGGTCATTCACTTTTTCAATTCCTTTTGATATTGCTTTCTAAACAGTCAAATTCTTTGGAGAACTTTAGAAAAAGTTTTTAAGGGACTAAATATTAAGGAAACTCTTTCTGGATTTGGGGTAATGTACAGAAGGTCACAGGTCCCTCGGGTGAAGAAGAGTAAAGACACAGAGCGTGGTGGAAATGGGCAGAATGCAGCAAAGGGATCGTGGAGCAGTGCCTTGGAAGCAAGGGAGATGATATGGGAACAGTGGAGACGCACACTTAAGACGTAGGAAGAGACACAGCTGGATATGACCACGGACCATGAGGTATATGGCTTAATAAACCTAATGGCAGTAGCCCATCTGAAAGACAGAGGTGGATGAGAAATAACTGGCCATTCATAAACACTAATAATACAAGTAGATAATATGAATTTATCTTGTCTTTTTGTTTGGAAACATTTACAGATTCAAACTTTTACATTAAGCTAGCACTGCTTTAACTTTTACAGAAAGAAGTGACCTTCTCCCACCTTTTTTTTAATGAATAGGAAGAATTAACTCAAAAAAAAAGTCTGACAAAATAATTCCCTCTCTCTACATGCAAAGAAATAAAAGAGATAAAGATATAGGGCTTTCACAATACATTGTAAAGCAGTTGAGGATGAAAGCCAAAAAAAAAATCCATGCTGGGTTTTAATTGAAGAAACATGTTGCCTTTCTCATTAGTGTTGAGCTCAATTCACTCCATTACCTCCTGCCTCAAACGAGATGCAGTTAAAAAAGCATCACAAAATAGTGCCCCCGTTTGAAGGAGACATCAAAATAAAGTGAAGAGTCAACATGGGATTAGCTGCTTTTAAAGATGTACTGAAATGCAAAATAATTAACTACTAAAACAAAGTAAATAAGCCCCAACAAATCATTACACTAGATTCAAAGGTTAAAAAAAAAATTATCAGAAAGAGGGGAAAAACAAACAAACAAAAAAAACCCCCTAAGTTCAATGTGACAAAACTGGTGTCACAGATGAAGATCTGTATAGGAAAAAGATTTTTTTTGGCTTGTAAAATATATAAACAGCCCAGTTTTGACATTCCTGCCTCAAGACATTTGTCATTATGATAAATTGCTTGATCGTTACTTGGAGTGATAGCATGACGAGCATCTTAAAAATGTCAGCCCATCGTTCCTGATGATAGATTCTAGCAAGGTTTGCTGTGGGAGGCAGGGGAATGACATATATACATCACGAGCGCCAAGCAAAACAGTAAACTTCCAGAGTAGCCTTTGCCTCATTTCTTCTTAGCATATCCTATAGGACCTGGGAACTAAACTAGAAAAATGAAATATTTGAGAAATAAACAGAAAAACTATGGAGACAAGTGATCATTTTTACAATGAATTCATATTTGTCATATCCTGAGCATGATTCAGCTGCATAATGTTGGTATCTGGGGTCATTTTGGCTGTCCGGGGTGTCTCGCCAGGCTTGGACACGCTGCTGCTCCGGCAGGAGGCAGGTTTCTCTCCTGAGCTTTGTCTCCTCTGCCAGCCAGGTGATTCATATGCCTCAGGATGCTCCAAGATGCCTGAGGTAGGGAGCTGAATCCTTCCCATGCTTCCAGCAGTACTTTAGTCACACACGTTTCTGCTGAATATTCTTTAGTAATACAGGTATTATTTTGTAGCCAGGAATTAGACTATGAAGCCTAGGATTTACGTAACCCAACCGGAGCAGTCCCACAACACAACGTGCCACGTGTGTCCCTGTCACTGTCCCCGGTCCTGGTGTGCCCTGCCCCAAGCTACAGGCCTCTTGCTTGAGAAGATCTATTAGTGACACGGTAGCATCATTCTTGATTGGATTATTTTTTAACATCTGCACTAACAGACATATTAAAATATTAAGAAGCTAACTATTTAGTTTAATATACTCAGCACTTTCTCCCATCAGGAAAGGGGTAAAATACTGCTAAATATTCACCTAACACACTGTATTACTGCCTCCAAACCTTTACATTTTTGAACTTTGCCAAGATGTTCACTTGGGAAGAATATGTCATACCAAAAGAAAGAATGGAAAAGCAGCAAGGAGAAGTGCTCTGCAAATGGAGACACTCAGCTCTCTCGTGAGCAGTGTGCAAGATCCACTTAACAGCAAAATCACAACAAACCAGACCTGCCTCTTCCTTTTTCAAACTTATTTGTGCTTCAATATCAGTATTTGACTACCACTAAAAAAGAGCCAGACAATTTCTGGTCTAAATCTAGACTGCCATGTTAAAAAGCAGGTCTGGTAGAGTTTTTCAGGCTCCTACTTGTTTAAGCATTTCAGCAAGCTTGTTCAAAAGCAAGAGATGTCTGTTTCTACAAACCTGGGAAGAGAATTCTGATGAAACGGAAGGTCCTATGGAATATTTGGTACTCCCAGTGTCCTCTGAAGCCTTCCTAAAGCCGGGTGGCAATGCAGGACCTATAATGGGCCTCAAGGGGAAAAAAAAAAAGGTTTTAAGTGAAAAAAAAAAGGATGTAAAATAACCAACATGGACAGTACATTAAATAATATTCTCTTGCTTCATGCTGGAACAATTTTTAAAGAGATTAACACATCATAGAAACAACTGCATTTGTAAGAACAGTCTTTCTAAGCCTCGGAAGGCTCAAGCATGTGAACAAATGCCAGGTATTTATTCATGAACTCCCTTTACCAGATCCAAGAGCAAGGAAAGGTCAGAAATACCTTATTCTTTGTCTAACACCAAGGATGGTTTTTGCTATTCTTGCCCTGCATCACAGCACCAGAGCACCTTCAATAAACAAAATCAATGAACTGCTCCTATTTAAAATGTTTGTTTTTCCCTTGGGGCAGGGAAGACAGGAGAGGAAGCAGAGGCAGGTTTTGAAATCCTAGGTAACTTCATTGATTTGGTTAACATAGCAACTCTGCACAGAGTCTGACAAGTCAATTGGTTGCAGGGACAGAGAAAGGCAAGGATCTCTTTTCAGTGGTGAAGACAGTTTAGAGTGTATGTTGAGCTGCACTTACAGTGCTGAAAGGGCTCTTGTATACAAGATCCACTTTTAACGGTCTACTATACCCCTCAAAGGCTAATAAAAGTTAATAAAAACCTGAAAAAGCATCATCCAAAGAAGTGAGAGCATCCTTAGAGTGCATCAGACAGAGACTTTATTTATTATGATCTCGAGTCTCTCAGCTTTTGGGCAATCAAACGTAACACAACGTTAATTGAACTATTCTAATCATGTTCTTCTATTAAATCCTGTATAATCTAATCAGCACAGCTCTGCAGTAGTGATGTGTTTGTCAGGATTTGAAGGGGGAAATGAATAAAAGAAGGAAGTCTTGCCAGAAAGATCCTAGTAGAGAGGATTCTGCTAATGGGAGGCACGAGCTCAGTGCCTGTGAGCTCAGGCCAGGGGAGGTTTCAAAGCCAGGCAAGAAGTTTGGGATAAATCCGACACTCCACCTCCATCTAGCTGCTGGCTGAGAGAAACAGTCTTTACTTTATCCCTTCCTTTCCAACATCTTTCTTGTTAAACACACGTTTTCAGTTCCCAATAAAATTTTAAAATAGAGTTTGAATGTTAACCCATAGAGATATAAAAAAAAAAAATCCTTCCTTTTGGTGTACAGGCACCTCTATTTTGTGGACAAATAGATTTAAACCAACCTATACATAAAGCTTATTCTACTGAGAAACATCAGAACTTCTACACTATGGGCTATATATGTGCAACTTCTGAAAAAAGGAGTGGATATTAAATACCTCTGTCACAGCTCAAAGGCTCTCCCAAGGAACAGAAAAAAATGGTGCCTCTACTCATCCTTTCCACACTCCTCATCGCTACTCTGCTCTTCCATATGAACAACCCTGTTGCTCGGGTCTCTCCTCAGAAGCTCAGGATGTGATTCTTGACAGTTTCCTGGATGTCCTGGATGCCTCTGACCAAAGTGAATCTAAAGGAAACCCAGGTAAATGCATTTTGCTGCTGTTGGCATGCTGCAGCACCTACGTACACATACACTTACAAACGAAACCTCGTCAGCAATCAAGCTTTCATTTAATGCATGCTGGATTTCGTACGTGGCAAAGGAAGCTTTCTTGTGGTTGGACTTTTAAGTCCTCACTAATACAGGATGTGAATTTCACTACTCTTCTCGTGTTTAACTTCAGCATTTTAACATTGGTTCCTCACCTTGATGAGTAAGTATTTCTGGAAAACCTACGAATACTGCAGTTCTGGCACATTTTGGTAAAAAACAACATTCTTTCCAAAGCCAAAAGAAATCTGTTCACATAGACATTTTATGCTGGAATGACTTGAGTAATTCTTAAAAAGTCACAAATTGCCACGTGAGCTGCTCTTAATTATGAGCATTTGCTTTGACAAGCCTGGGAAAAGATGGAAGTGAGAACAAAAACTTTCTTCGGAAAGAACAAGCGTGTGACAGAGAGCTTACAAGCACTAAGTCCACACGCAACAAACAGCCTCACGCTTGTTCCCGGCAGCGACAGCCAGACTGGCAGCTGGCACGGCGCTCAGCGCTGCGGGCAGCGCGGCAGGGAGGCAGTTTGCAGCTCTGGGCCCGTGTCCTGCGCCGCTCACGCGCCGCGGGGTGACACTACCCAGCCTGCCAGGTGCACGGGGGCGGAAGGCAGACGAGGCTCTTGCCACACATTGCACCTTTCCCACCTATTCAGGGATGGGGGCTGTTGCAAAACAGCTCTTCAGTGTGTGCCAGGCACAGTTGTGTGAGGACCTGTGACTAAGAAACGCCTGGGAACCTCTGATAGTTTGAATTCCCCAGCCCCGCACACAACACCCCTCTGAATTTAAGTGCAGTTATCCAGCATTTTGGAAATAAACTGCTATGTAGAAGTTGGATAAGCGTGAAAAATACTAAGACTATACAATGGGAGAGCACTTGTATTACTGTTCATCTCATTAGCCTGCAGGCTACCAGTTACCTTTTCTCTTCCTCTTTCTCTCCGCACCATAATTTACCACCGCAGCATTCGTGTCAAAATCAAGAAGGCTCCCTCACCTAATACCAAAAGGTACAAGCATTGATTTATGTTGCTTTATTAGAGCATATATTATTTTCAGTGACTTCCCTTATTTTAGGGAAATATTGAGCATAGCTTAACAACATATTGGCTCATCCTCCTAGAACTGACATCTCATACCTGACAAGTGAGTATTGATTTATTTATCTGTCAGTTCCCTGTGGCTCTGAGGAAGAAAACAGTGATGAAGAGACTCAACCACCTCTCATCAACGAGCCTTCCCTGGCAAGCAGTGATATCCGTATGGATAATCATTTTGATTTATACAAGGAAGTGCAAGGCTAAGGAGGCTGACACACATGGTTAAATTATGAATGGAATTCATTACTAGTTTTCTTCTGTAGGTATTTTGCAAACATGTGCAATCAAATGGAAAGCTTACTGATAGGGACTGTAAGTAAGTTATTTGTTTAGACATGACAATTGGGCCTTTGAAAAAGGCAGATGATTCAGACCAGCTTTCCACCTGCAGATACGGAGACAATAACCCTCAGTGCACCAGCAAAGCAACAGCTCCCACCCTGCACTGTGTTATGGCCCACAAAAGCTGAACGTCCTACTCCATCTGGCCAGAATGAACTAGGCAAATATGGGTCCTTGTCCCCGGTGCTTGTTTTTCCTACATTCTTTTTTGAGATATCACAAGAAACAGAAGTAGTTTGACATTCAAAATACAAATCAGACAATTTATATATTTTTCCATCTTTCTCCCCAACCTTCCAAACTAGGATGAATCTGAATTCTCTTTCAAGGTAAACTGAATTGTTCTGTCATAGTGTCACAAAATATTTTATCTTAAATAATTGTGTTTTAAGGAAATAATCCTGAGTATTACTCCATTTTAATTACCTCTCTGGAGAATCGTCCTGTTTTTTAAATCCAGGAGGAAGAGCGGGTCCAAAAAATCCATCATCATCATCATCATCTTCCTGAATTCCTTTTGGCTTTCTGTAAATACAAGGATTTCACTTAATAATTACCTCGACATACAAGGCAATTATCTACATTTTAAAAAGGAAAAAAGAAACATAAAAACGCTTTCAGACAGTCTTATGTACTAAACATCTCGCTGTTTCCAAGGAAACAGTGCAAAAGGATCCAAAATAGTCTGTAGCAATTAAAAATTTGGTAGCGCAAGCCTCACTCCAAAAACACTCCAGCTTTTCAAAAATAATCAGAGTGCTTTTGCTGAAGAAAGAGAAGTAGAATAATGCTGAAATACCATTTTCTATTCAGCAAGTAATCTTATATTCAGCACACTTTCCACATGTCTGCTGCCTGCATTTTGACTACTAGTTTTCCCAATCCAGTTCTACTGAGACTCCAGAAAAAGGGGATAAGAGACCAGGTGAAAAGTCATTAGTATGTACTCCTGTGCTCATTAAGGCAGCAGAATGTCCTTGCAGGTCCTTATACAAGACCTAATGCAAACAGACACAAGGTTTAATACAGCAACTGTGAGTAAGTCATTCCACTAAATTATGATATGTGAAGACACCTGTTATTCAATTCAATTCCTTCATCCCAGTTGATTTAACTGAATATATAAACTCACACTCATTAATAGATTTTATGACCTTGGTGCAAAGTAGTATAAGGCCAAACTCAAATAAAAAAATTTATTTATATGATATTGTCTCTTTCTTTTATTTCACAGAGATATACTTCAATTCTACTTTCTGCATAATTTTATGTTGCCAATGCTTCAAAGACCTAGGAAGACACTAACTTGGGTGCTGGAGCTCCTTCCAAGTCCTCTTCGGAATCTCCATCTGCTTCCCTGGGCAGGGGAAGAGGCTCCGAGTCGTCGCCGCTCTCAGGGGTTTCTGAGCTCCAGCTGCTCTTGTAACCTGGAGGCAGCGCCGGGCCTGCAACTGAGCACCGAGACTCATTTGGGACATTCCATTAAACACTTCCCATGAGGACTATCCAGCTTTCCATTAAACACTTCCAATGAGGACTCTTCCCAAAACTCAAACCGACCTTGGATTCAGTCGTTACTGTGTCTAACACTTAGAGAAGGTATTTAAATGGGCACATTTTATTCAGCACCATACTGCCAGGAACCACCCCTGCACAGCACCCTAGTACATTATTAATGCATTATCACACCAGCCACCTTCTGTACATCAGTTACCTTTTGGTAGTAGACAGGCCTTTAAAATGTATATGGTATAGACTGGCATATTAAAGATACATTAATCAAGCATTTGAAGCTTATTACTGAAGAGTCACTTCTTTTGTGCATACACAGAACCCTAGATTAGTGCAATCTCCCTGCCATCCTGCTTTAGCAATGAGGGCTATTCCCAGTTCTAGCAGGCACAGACTTTGACACTCAGCTGAATAAGGGATGATTCAGGCACTCAAAAGAATCACCGCCCTCAGGAGGCCTGTGTGGTGGACTCAGCTCTCCTTGTATCAATCAACCTTTCATATCCTCTGGAATAATGGGATATCCTAGCAAAGGAGAAATTCAGAGTCTAACGTATCTAATGGGCACAAGCTGCTGCTGGCATCGCCCCCGTCAGCCAGCAGGGTTATGGTCTGACTTGCTCCCTTGGAAATAGTGCCACACATATTGAGTGCAGAAGTAATTTAGCTACCTACATTCACGTGGCACTGAACTTAAATTTAAGTGCCCACCAAGCAAGCAGCTCCATACAGCCCCAGCACTGGCTCAGCACAGACCGGCTGGGGGAGGAAAAGAAGCCTTCCCAGGACAGGTTAGCGCACGCGGAGACAGCTCCGTTTATACACAGCATATATGATCTATCCATAGAATAGACCTAACTGTACTGGCAGTTTAGCCTCCTGCAACACAGACATAGCCTCCTTTTAAGATTTCAAACACTGATTCCAAGAGTGAAAGGAGAGGGAAATGTTGCTGGGCAAAGGGCATTATTAACTTATCAACAGCCAAGACGAGGTGCCACAAAATCACATAACGGATGGGTAGCAGGAAAGTACATCTCCAGTAAAGAACAATGACCTTTGTAATGGTGCAAAATAAACTAATTTTAAAATTCCAGTTTTAGCTGACCAAAGGTTGGCAGAAATTGAGATCTCCAAATGAGCTTTATGAAGCTTTTAGTTGCCTTTAGAAAGAACAAAGGCAAATTATGCAGCACCACAGGCCCACTTATCTTGGCTCTGTTTTAATGGGAATGACTTTAACCAGGACATGCAAATCCATTTCAGCACCAAGGAGGGCAAAACAAACGGAAAACAATCTGTAACAGTAAGTTCAAGATGAAAGGAAATGAAGAGATGAATGACAAATAAGAGTGCATGTTACTACTACAAAGCAATCCATTTCAGTGTGAGGATTAACATCACATTCAAGGTATTCTCTTTTTTATTTTTTTTCCCTCAAATCAACCACTTTCACCCACTGGTGCCCTGGTAACCTGAAAGGATTTTAATTTGCTCTGAATGCACAGAAGATAAAAAGATTTGGGGTGAAAGGAACAACTTGAAATGCAGTCTGATGAGCCTCACACTGCAGAGGAAGAGAAAAATTGGGAGTGGCTAAGTGAGATAGAAAGAAGTAAAATTATTTTAAAAAGGAGTCTGGATACACAGCCACTTTCTCTCAGTGCCAGTGTATATGTTTTCTGTCTCATGATTCTTTTATCCTGCTGGTACAGGACATTGGTACACTGGTACAACTGCTTTTGTTGACTGTGCAATAATTTGGATCAGGGAACTTATCAAGCATAAAAACACACTGCAAAAAAAAAAAAAAACCCAAAATCAAAAGACCACTCCCCTGAAATAATTTTTTTTTCATGTAGTCACCGACTAAACAGGGCATCTAGAAACAAGAGAGACAGACAGGGCCTGTTTCAGCAAGGAAAAATGGCATTTGGAGCCTGAAGACTGGGGAATGGTCATTTAGACTGGTGAAAAGAATCAGAGGAGAAAGAGACTGGAAGCGATGATGGAATGGTCATGGAAAATGAGTACGGAAACGGGGACTGACTGAGTCGTGGACATCATGGATGGAGATACAGCTTGCAAAAGAAAAGGAACAGAGAGGAAGGAGTGGGGACCACTGAGCACAGATGGAGGGAACAAAGAAACAACAGTAAGGAGGGAGATAGAGATTTAAAGAGAAGTCTGTGAATGAAATTCCCTGGAAGCTAAAGAATATAAAGATATGGATCCACAGGGGAACTGAGGATGGCTCAAAGTGCCAGGAACTAAAACCAATAAGCTGAGGAAGAGGTAGGAAGCTAGCAATGACAGAGGATCAGGAAAGCGAAGAAATACTCAGAACTCAGAGCCAGCTCAGAGCAGTGAGTTGTCACTCCCATTACAGACACAAGTTTCTACTTTAACAAGCTTATTTGTTACTTTAACATTGTGAGACGGAAAACTGCCTTCTTCTCCTTATCTATAGCCATTTCCTAGCATTTCTCTTGTGCTGGTACAAATAAGAGGCAGTATGGACACAGGGATGAACAGCTCGCGCTGCCCTCGGCCAGCTTCAAAGAATTATCATGAGATGGAGCATAAGATCGTGAACGCGTTGCACGACAACCAAAGGGAGAGGATTTGTCACTGTCCAATTAACGCTCGCTCCCCTCGAGCCCTGATAAAGATCCCAGGGTTTGAGGACCATCCGATTTCAGATGCCAGCAGAGGACAGGGATATTCCCTGGTAGGGTCTGTTTGAGCTCCCTCTGGTGCTGATTCACAGGAGGAAGTGGCTGGTCCCTTCCCATGGCTGCTCTGCCATCTCTCGGGATGCTCGAGAGGATGAACCAACTCGCAGCCACACTGTGCTCATGATTTTCAGCTTGAAATGCCACGTACAACCAGCCACAGAGCTGTATCCTACCCATACAAAGACAACAAAAATGCAAATTTAATAACAGATCGACAGACACACTTCATTTCCTACATCTAACATGTCTATGTCACTTCAAAGGCAGGTAACATTGAAACTTCTGCTACTGAAAGAAAACTTCTTGATGCGACACTCAGGCTGGCTGCTCAAAGCTCTAATTTCTTGTTGTAATAAGAAGCCTACAGCAGATTTGGTTTTAGCAAGAAAATGCAGCAAATATCAGTGAGACCATAAGGAGAGGAAAAAGACGATGAGGAAAAAACATGTTTAGCTCTGCTTTAAAGAATCAAAAGATAAAGTATTTCTTATAATACAAGAGGCAATGTTTATGGAACATGTTCCTGTGTGCCTCCTATGTTGGGCAGGCCGTGACTGGGATCCAGGAACTGGGCAAACTTAATAGTCACAATGAGTCTTTGCAAGCACTTTTGATGCAAAAAAAATTTTGAAGCAAAAAAAAATTATTTTAAAAAATATATATTTTTAAGGTAAATCTGTTCAGCCCGTGTCCCTTTGAGTCGCAGCTCTGGGGCCAGCACGGGGTCAGGTGCTGCTATGGTGCCGGTGAGAACACGGGGGACCCCGTTATGGGGGGCGGGAGAAGCCGTTAG